AGCCACAGGGAACAAGGACTTAGAGCATATTCGGAACCAAAGCTAAGGCCTGTTTTGTATGTGCTGGGTTTGAGGATACATCCAATTATCACCTTAGCAGGTGTCTGTCTATACATCTACCTTCAGTGTCTTTATACACTTTGCAAAATATCCTCCTTCATGGGTATTCCACATTGCTTACATAGTGACAGGGATTAAAAACAAAACTAAAAAATAAATGTCAGTGTTTGCCTTCCTTTGATTCTTAACACATCACCATCTTTCCTTCCAGCTTAGTTTCCAGGGACAAGCTGAGCACAAATGTCTCCTAGAAATAATGGGCTTTGCAAATAACTATAATAACTATATAGTAACTGTACTATATTAACTGTCGATAAGCTGAGAACTGAGTCTGAAATGCAGACCAGGATTTTTTCTTACGAAACCATGGCTTACCTTTGCGTCCTTCATCTTCTCTGCTATGTTTGTGGCTTACATCACAGGGGGAGGAGCTTAGCTCATTTCTGCCAAATATGGGAATGAAAAACTTCTATTTTCAAACCAATTAAAAAATCATTTTAAATTAAGCATTTAATCACAGCTGACTTAGATCACACCAGGCTCCAACTAGTTCAACATAACCAATTACTACTATCTCCTATAGGTCAGGTCCCATTTTTCAAGTGCTGTATGAATATTGCACCCATTTAATCCTTCAGACGACTGTGTGAGAAGCAGGGTGAGAATTATCAGAGGAAACATCTCAGAAGCAGCGAATGACTCGCCAAGGTTCCCAGAGCCAAAGTGGTTGCTTACTATCCACATCCTGTTCATGTGTCAGAGTTCAGGTTCCCTTCCAGAGGCCACAGCTGATAAAGTATGTCAGCCTTAACACAGATGTTCCAATAGGCTTGGTGTTCCTCTAACCTGGGTGTCACTGATAAATCAAAAAAATCATCTGGATTTCCTAAAATCTCCCCAGTGCCCCAAACCTCAAAGGGCTGGGCTTCGTGCACAATGATAACATGGAGTTCGCCGGGCTTGATCTTCTCCGTTTCCCAACACAACACAGACAATCCCCTCCTCTGACAGCCACGAAAAAGAAAATAGTAACAAGAAGCAGAGCTTATAAATTTCCATTACACTTAATGCCTGATTTTACTTAGTTAATGGATTCACTTATTAAAGCAATTTCTGTAAATCTCCAAGGGCCTGCTAAGGTTGCTGCCTTATGGTTTTATCACGTCATATACTTCCTTTATTTCTATCCTTTAACAAATAGTGGATTGGCAAGGAACTTTGAACCAACTACTGCTCAAACTATAGGTAAATTACAAATAAAGTTTAAAATAAGGACTTTTCATACCCCAGGGGTTTCCTTTAGCAACAAAAAGGGATTTCATTTTTTGTATGTTTCAGCTGAGTCATCAATCCCAGCTACCATTGTCTGTCAGTTTCATGTTGACTCCAGGCTTATTTTCAGGAGCCTACTTGTCTCCTTCAGGTTTTCAGGTGTGGATATGAAGGGTTTGGGGAGCCATCTGACATCAGTATAGGCACCCTCATGATGGTCCCTCTCACTGAGGGGAGCAGGCAGACAGCAGAGGTGTGGCCTTGTATAACTGCAGGTACACTGTGGTCAGGAGGGAGGGGCCCCTGAGGACCTGCTGGGCTCTGGCCGAGGTCAGTTAGCCAGTGAGAACGCCACAATGATTAAGTCTGGGCTGTATGGCTCATACACACGTGATCTAGAATCTAGGTGGAACTAGAAGAAAGTCCATTCTTTTTTTTTTTCTTTTTTTGAGATGGAGTCTCGCTCTGTTGCACAGGCTGGAGTGCAATGGCGCAATCTTGGCTCACTGCAACTGCCGTCTCCCAGGTTCAAGCGATTCTCCTGCCTCAGCCTCCTGAGCAGCTGGGACTACAGGCACGCATCAACACGCCTGGCTAATTTTTGTATTTTTGGTAGAGATGGGTTTTTGCCATGTTAGCCAGGCTGATCTTCAACACTTGACCTCCAGTGATCCACCTGCCTTGACCTCCCAAAGTGCTAGGGTTACAGGCATGAGCTACCATGCCTGGCCTGAAAGGCCATTCTTAACATGAAATTGCCCCACAATCAGAAGCAAATGGGGACCTACACCGGAGGAAGTCAGAGACAAGGAGAAACAAAATTCAGCCCACCTGAGATTGACAATACAAATGACTATCTGTTCAGTTAAGTGGCAACCACTAGTATATAATTATTGTCTCCTGTACCAAATGAAGTACATAACTTAGGAAGTGCTTAGAAAAAATAAATGAAAGAAAAAATTCATTATCTCTTAGTTGTACTTTAAGGAAGGGGAATCTGGTGATGGTTGTGTGCTAATGGAGAGGTGAGGCGTAAAGATATCCACATAGGGAAGAGCTAAATTGCTTTACTTTAGAAGTGGATCCAGAAGGGAGTGGAGTGAGAAGTTAGAATGAGAGGCTGGGTGGAGAGAGGAGTGAGTGGAGAGACAGAGGAAGAGACAAAGGGAGAGAGAGTAAGAGAGCCAGAGGTGGGCACAGAAGGACTTAGAGGCTTATGGATAAGAGAGAAAGTTTGGAAGAGACAGTGAGGATGGAGAGAGATTGTACTACGCAAGGTAAACTCTGCAATCCTCTCTATGAAATTGACATAAATAAAATTATATATATATGTAATATTATATTTATTTTCTGTCTGTTGCTGTATTATGTGAAAAGAATTGATCGAAGTTTCACCATATGGGATAAAGGGGACATTTGGGACGGTCTGACTTTAAATGTAGTTTATATGGTATATGCAAAATTCTCTCTGGGGTTCTTGGAGGCACCTCCAACAGTAGCTGAAACCAGGGACAATGGCGGGCCCATGTGGCAGCAGAGTGGGAAAAATGTACCAGACACGTTAAAATGCCAGGAGCAGAGAAAACAGATGGAGGCTTCCAACATGAGCCCTCATTTTAAAGTCCTAAGGACAAATTATTGTAATTGGTGTCGATTTATGAGGGAACTGTCTCCTATGACAGCAGCTCCACAAGGCTGCTGCAGGCACTGATGGATGGTTAGTGCAGGGAAGACAGCGTAGCTGCTGGTCTTCCATGATGCTCACGAAGCTGCTGGGGTGGGCTTCTCCTGGAGAAGGAGGAGGTGCATGGAGTCCTGTTTCATGGATGACATGGGGGCAAAAGGAGAGGCTGTTGGTGGAGACTAGCCAACTTTTGGGTCACAAATGAATAAATATATGAATGACAAGTTAATGGTGGCAGATGTACACGCCAGGCAATGGGTGAAAACCCCACTTCTTATAAAAAGACTAGTGTTGATAAAGTCACTAAACCTTTTCATGGTGATCAAGAGAAAAATGGGGCTTTCTGTTCCCAGACTCCTTTTGCGGTTCAGCTCCATTGCTTACTAGCTGTTGCCCTTGGGCAGGTCACTGAACATCTCTAAGCTTTGGTTTTATTTTATTAAAACTGAGGATAATATTAGTGTCCACTTCAAAGGATTATGGTGAGATTACTTGAGATAACCTGTAGCCCAAAATACATTAATGATGAAGATGATGATTTTCATTCTAAGACCACTTGGTAATCAATATGTATTGATGATCACATTCACTACACACACTTACAAAGTGCAGCTCCCAGGCCGGGCACGGTAGCTCATGCCTGTAATCCCAGCACTTTGGGAGGCCGAGGCAGGCGGATCATGACGTCAGGAGTTCAAGACCAGCCTGGCCAATATGGTGAAACCCCATTTCTACTAAAAATACAAAACTTAGCCAGGCATGGTGGCGCACTCTTGTAATCCCAGCTACCCGGGATTAAGGCAGGAGAATTGCTTGAATCGGGACCTGGGGGACAAAGGTTGCGGCAAGCCGAGATCGTGCCACTGCACTCCAGCCTGGGCTACAGAGGGAGACTCCATCTCAAAAAATAAAAATAAAAATAAAATTTTAAAAAGGTGCAGCTCCCATGCTAGTTTCCTGGTCTCTTTTTGGCCTCTTTCTTTTCAGAGTCACCAGCACTTCCTTCTCTTAAATGGTGGGGCAAGTATATGTTTTAACCAATTCTAATGCTCATTGGTTTTATTTTTTAATCCTCTGAGGTGTAAGTGATGCATTTTCACATTAATAATATAACTTTGTATATAGTGGCTACATACAATGTTAAAGGTATATTATATATAATATGGTGGTTTCTGTGTTCTATCACACATTAGAAAATAGCTAGGATGAAAACAGCCTGTGTGCAAGGGACAGACCCACCTCTCTGTGCCACATGACGCTATGGGAAGCTGTGGAATGGGCAGGGACCAGGCACAGCCTTCATAATCTGTCTCATAACATTTCCTTTGATATGGTGTTTGCCCTTTACAAACCCCACTCACTCCCACTCTGTGCCTTTTTCCCTGGTTCCAGCTCTGTTTCCCCCAGTCAATCCAGAAGGTTCCCTTAACATACTAAGCCTTTGCTGTCCCTGTTGTATCCCTGAAAGGCCTCCTGTGCCTTTGGCTACAGGTCCTGAATGTCCAGGCCATCTGTGCTATCTGCTTCGCTGTACCTCATCAAGACAGCGTGAGGGTGGAGGGCAGAACCTTGGTCCTGGCCTCTCAGCTTTTGTGGGTTTCAGCCAGACCCTGGGTGTTATTTTAGTGCGACTTTGGTGTTTAATTTGAGGATGTGTGTGGACCAGAAGGAGGGACCAAAACATGATTTTTTTTCCCCTTGGTCAAATGATTAAATTTGAAGTTCTAAAAAATGCACAGTTTGGTCCAAAGCTGTGTCAAACTGGGAAGAGAGAAATGCCCTGGAAACCCCTCCCAGGCCTGGGACCATCCTTCCTTAACCACCAGCCGCCCCACAGGCCTGCGGACTGCGGGCATCACCTGGGCAGGCTGTGCTTACTCACTACCCAGGAGCCCTGTGCCCTGAAGCTGTCCTTCCTCTCTTCAAAGTGCATTTTGTGCCTTTGCTGGAAGAACCGACTACAGATTTGTTCAATTTCTTACAGTCTTGAAAGCGCCACAAGCAGCAGCTGCTGAGCCATGGCTGAAGGGGAAATCACCACGTTCACAGCCCTGACCGAGAAGTTTAATCTGCCTCCAGGGAATTACAAGAAGCCCAAACTGCTCTACTGTAGCAACGGGGGCCACTTCTTGAGGATCCTTCCGGATGGCACAGTGGATGGGACAAGGGACAGGAGCGACCAGCACAGTAAGCCCATCTCTATGGCACCCCCTTCCTTTTCTGACATCTTCTGTAGTCGAGGTGGGAGGAAGGTGCATATTTAAGTACAGGTACTTGCTTCTCCAGGGTTCTATTCAGGCGTGACACATTCAGAGGTGGAGTCACATAAATGTGTAGAATGTCTGGGTTTGGAAAATAGGGAGTTGTGGGGGCCACCACTTACCCAAACGTGTCCTATTTCAAGTTTTTTAAAGCACTCTCTGCTGACCCAACAGAACTGGCTGCCGGTGCTCGATCCCTGTATGTTTTCCCAGGTTTCTGTAACTAGTGAAGGATCTGGCCCCGAAGGCTAGTCAGGGGTCTGCATGCTCCATGATGGGATGAACCAGACGGGCATGGCGGTAAATCCTGCACAGAGATGTGGGCTCCGTTTCAAGTCAACTGACTCTCCTGGTTATGTTTCCACTGGGCTTGATTTGTGAAATCCTAGTTCATAATCGTAGTCTTACACATCATAAATTACGCAGCTTTCCCTCTGCGTATCACGCAGATGTGGCTGTGGTAACCAGCAGAGGTAAAGTCATTCTCCAGACCTTATAGAAACTGGAGAGTAGGAGCGACTAGCGCCAAATGCTGAATATCTCTTCCAGCACTTCCTGCCAGCCCGGGTCTCAGAGGTGTTGATAAATGAAGGTATGACTCTGGAGAAAAGAATCTTCTTGACTCTCTAAGTATAAAAAAATCTCTTCCTTCTGCTTTGATACTTCTGGCACTGGTGTGTATGTTTGATATTAGGTGTCCAGGTCCTATCATGATGTCATCTGAGATCCCCTGAGTCCCACTGCAGCATCAGAGGTTACAAAGAAGCCTAAAGCCAGATCCAGTCCCTGCTTAGAGGGTCAGCAATCTCAAGAGTCAAACATAAAACAAATCAAGAGAAGGAAAATCAGGAGACACAGAAGAAGCCAGGCAGGCAGGAAGTTTCTGTAGGACTGGCTTTAAAATGCAATACAAAACACTCACTTTGACATGATGGTTTATAGATCAGGTGGTCTTAATTATTCATGAACCATGCACCAGAGGTTGCAGGTTCTAAGCACAAATGACCACTTCACTGGTGCTCATGCTCTACCCTCAGATGCATGGGTAATGGAGATGGACGCTGACGTTTACACACGAGGTGACATTGTTCCTTCCTCCCCACCCACCACACAGACCCTTGAGATGAGGAGCAGGAAGGCTGACGCTGGGGCTTGCAGCTGCAGAATTAGCTCTTTTGGGCTTTGTTTTGATGGTTTATCTTCAAATGGGCTTGCTGAATGCCTTATTTTCAGTGAAAAACAGGTGTCAGAACGAGGCAAAAAAAGGACTCTAGTTTGTTAAAAAGCATACATAAGCAATGTTCACTGCAAATTAGCAAACTTAGATTGTAGTCCATTGTGTCAGGCATGATACACAATTCATGTGATCTGCCCCCACAGAACACAAGGGAACAAGCTTTAATTCCTCTGGGTTTTAAGTGTTCCTAATACATCTTACCAATTTTCTGAAAAAGTAGGGAATGCTCTCCGGTCCTCAGAACCCAAGAGGAAAGACAAGCTTCGTGATATGTTCCTTGGGGTTAAGCTAGCTCTTCTGGGAAACCTTGACTTCTGGAGTAACAAGAGGCTCCAATACTGGAATTTCTGTAGCAATGGAAAATGGCTTCCTTGTTGTCATTCCATCATTAGCAAAACAGACTGCACTCTGGGTGTGTAACGCTGGCACAACTTCTGGAGTCCACAGTGGATTTGGTCGCCTGACTTAGGATGTCAGGAACCCCTAGAAAGGAGCACAACGTAGCCCTGGGAGTGCAGGAGAGGATTTCTGCATTCAAGGAATGCCAGATTATTTTCCAAGTGAACTGGGGCAACTGCACCTTTCTGTCCTCACTTTTCTCATTTGTACAAAAAGAATACTAATATTCCTTGCCTCACAGGTTTCTTGGGAGGGTTAAATGAGATAATATAGTGAGAGTTCTTGGCACAGTGGCTGGCACAGAGGAACAGCACAGCACGTGTTGGTTCATATTGCAATTATCATCATCGAGCCTTCTATATAATCAGCCTAGCATATGGTAACAGAGGGTCGTATTTAAGGACCTTCCAGATTCTTCTTTTTTACAGTACTGCCACCCAGGAAAGCCAAGGGGCTAGATGCAGGCTTGGATTCAGGGTTTCTCTGCCAACACTCAGAGTTGTTGTGTGGGCCTATCATTTGCTTACTCTGAACTAAGAACAAGGACCACGAGGACAGAGATCAGAATAAGTGGGGTGGGTGGTCAGAAGCCCATCCCTGTACCTGTCATTACTGGAACTGGATATTCCGCTGCAGAGTCAGCAGGCTCCAGTTCAAGCCTACTCTGCCCGTTTCTGCCTGGAGCAGCCCTGGACAATTAACGTTCTTGCCATTATGCATTCTTTCTGTTTGCAAACTCTGCAAGAGAAGCTTCAAGCTCCCCAGCCCTGGGACTCCAGTCCTTTCCTAACTAGAAATTTAAGTGTCTCCAGTGTTCCCAACTAATTTTCAGGAAAATCGTTTAATCTCGCTGAGACTCAGTTTCTTCACCTGTGGAATGGAATGGCAGCATTGCCTAGGGTGCCTCATCAGGGCGAAACTTCTATTTACTAGGATTCTGCAGGTGAGAGGCGTCCTGGGCACGGAGGTACTCCCTGAATGTGGTTCTGTCGCCCTCTTCTGCCCAGTGGTGGTACTGCCAAAGCCCTTCTGAGTTTCAAGGGTTATTCAGAAACAGAATTGCCTCGGCCAGGCATGAGGCGGATGCTCCCTGGCTACATGTGATCCGTACGGCCTGGCAAGGAGATATTTTCGATGCCTTGATCACTAGTTTGAACATAATTAGAGACTGAGGTGACAGAGTCACATGTTAAGACTTCCTTCAGAAAGAGCGTTTCTAAAAGCCAATCGAAAAATTTAAACAAATCACACAAGATAGAACCGTATGCCTTTGAGCTCTACAAGACAGAAATAACTCCTTTCATGGCTTCTCTTTGTCCCAAGGTCATTGATCTTTCCTGGGCAAGTGTATCTTCTTCCTGCCTCAAGGAGAATGAGTTTCCAAGTACCTAACCTTTCTTACAGTGGTATAACGCTAGGGCAGATGCTCGTGTGGGGGCCATTCTAATAGAGACCTGAGTAAAATGTCTCTACTGGTGGACTTCTGGCCTGCAGAGAAGATGGTTTTGGTTTGTCCCGTTACCATTCTTCAGATCACTGCTGCAGGCAGTTGCCAATATGGACTGTGGATGCTGGTTACGCTGCCATGCTAGAAAGGCCAGGCAGAATCACCCAGGGAGTGCTGCATAGATCCCAGGGCTGATGGGCACAGTTAGTGAGAAGGTTCAAGTTGGCCCCTAAGCTTCAGCTCAGGGAGACACATAAATGGTGTCACCATGAGAGGGGGAGGTCCTGGAAGAGGATCAGGTCTGGGGGAAGATGGCCAGTTCCATTTTGGACACAAGCATTTGAAGAGTGTCTCATGTACCATGCAGCCGTCCTTGGGGTTATAATTCTCCATTTATTTGTGCAATTATTTAATGGTTTTCCCTCCTACTGGACTCCTAGAGGATAAGGACTTTGTCTCTTATTGCTCAACACTACAAACTTTGTGTCTAGCACATTGCCTGCCACTTGGTAAAATGCCCAGTAAACATTAATTTTATAAGTGACTGAACTGTATTGGTGGCAGCTAAATTCAAAGTCAACAATATATTCAATAAACATCTGTGAGCCCTGATATATGCTGGGCATTGTGTTGAACTCCTCCACTTCCACCTAACCACAACCTTGAGAGGTTACTAATTATCATCACTCTAAGAACACTGCAGCTGACAGGCGTGACCAGCTCCTAACTGGGAGGGCTTGGCACCGACCACATCTTCTGTTTCCAGGACTAAGGCTCCTTCTGTATCCCACCACCACCTGACACCAACATCATGACAGCGGTTCCGCCCCACAAACTGATTCAATACACACATCTGTGCTGTGGGTCAGATGGGTGGAGGTCAGGTCCCAGCACTGCTATTTACCAGCTGTGTCATCCTGGGACAGTTACTTCTCAATGTGCCTCAGTTTCCTTGTTTTAAAAGCAAGAATGACAACAGCACCCACTCATCGGAATGTGGGAGTTTTAATGTGATAATGTTTGTAAGAGTGTTTAGCACACTGCTAGGCACATAAGTGCTCCAAAAAAATGATATTGATCATCATTCTTCTGGGATTCCTGAGCCTTCCTCACCTAACCACCTGACCTGTCAAGTCTGTTAGATTAGGTGAATGCTATGCTTGCTCGCAGAACTGAGGGTGACTCTTTGTCCCAGCTTCTCTGGGACTACCTGGGTTGAAGCCCCTGAGGCCTGACACAGAGGCATAATGTGCCCAGGCGCAGGTGCAGCAAACCCTGCTCCATCTCACTCCTCTGGCAGGGCAAGTCTGCTCTGTGTTTGATTCTGATCTTTCTGGGGAGTTTCCTCTCTGGTGAAGGGGGACCATGACTTATCCCTCAATGGGATTATTAACTGGAACAATAATTAGAGAATAATTTCCTTATGAGCATTCCAAACCTGCAGCTGCCTGCCATAGCCCACAACCCCTCACCTCCCCAAGCACGCAAGAGGCTACGTGGGGAGCAGAATTACCGGCACCACTCACTGCACAAATGGAAACGTTCTTGGGCAAAGAGCGTGCCAATCAAATATTTATAAATCAAGCCACATCCTAAAGGCAGTAGCAGAATTCACTGGTCAAAACAATCCTACCTTGCAGCCCTTTCTAAAGGGCAGGTTCCTCTTCATGAAATGCCTCCTGCCCTGTTGCTTTAGGGGAGTCCAGACTTCTATTCTCTGGTTGGGATCACTCAGCACCTAGCGGGTAAGGCACTGTATTCCCCACCAGCATAGACCTGAAGTCAAAACAGCTTTTCAAATGACTACTATGGGGAGAGCTGGACCCCACTGCCAGAAGTCAGA